CCCAATGACACGGAACGTTTTGTTCGTAGAAATGCTTAAAATAAATTAGGGTAAATCAATTGAGAAGAGACAGTGGAGATTATCGATTGGAATGGAGGAGATTTATATGAATCAGGCAGGAAGGGAAAGCTATAAATAAATGCTTAATGCTATTTACAATTTATTCACCTAGTTATCACTCCTTTTATCCTTGACATTCCAGTATTTAAATATTTTCAGTTACATCCTTTTGTGCTCACTTCCCCTCATCAAAACAGGACTCATTTCCCCTAACAACAGATGCCTCAAACTTCCATTATAAAAAAACCAAAGAGATAGCATATCTCAACACTCAAGGACAGGGTTAACTCCTCCGGAAGGTCCCTCTCTCTATTCTGATATAAACGATGATAAATGCCGCTGACGAACAGGAATTAAGTTCAATTTAAAGGGTATTCAGGGATCTGGCCCACAGATCTATCGATCGATCGCTGAGAGCCACAAAAAAGGTACATTCCCTTTTTGTATTCGGGGAGTGACGAAAGATCATGTCCATTAGGCCGTCGTCTGCAGGCAGTTAATGGCTGCACCACAAAAACAACACACACACAAAATATATAAAGAAAAAGGCCACAACGGTGGCCCAGAGATTGATATGTTTTCCGGGGCACACAACAGACGGTGGTGATCATAATGCCCTGATTATGGTTTTGTGGTTTTTAATATTCATGTCGATCGAAGCTCCTAGGCTCAGCAGCGATATTTGTTTGATGAATTTATTGCCCCACTGATCATCGAACGGCGATCGGCGATTGGCGATCGGCGGCGTTTTGTTTTATCCCCTGGCCAGGTATTTAATGGCTTTTCGGTTCTGGCTTTGGTTTTGAGTTTAGGTTTCTCTTATATTTTTTCTCGTGCTCGTAAAATGCACAATTTAACGGTGTGCCGTGTGGAGTGTGCTATAGTTATGAGTCTGAGTTGGGTTCTGCTCTTGATTATCTCACAGATAATCGAAGCTGGTGGGTTTTTATTGATTAGAACATGATTCCGGTGGCCAGGGAAAATCGGTGGAGAAGGGATTTTATAGGGGATTAGGAGGTGAAGCCTTGATCTCTAGGAGAAGCCAAGGGAAGTCTTAGAGTCTGAGTCAACTATAAACTCCATTTCAGGATGCTTTTCTTTACTTTCCCTTACCAAATTCATTCATTTTTCTTTATTATTTCTAAATTACAATTCCCATCCCCCAAAAACGATGTCAATTCCCATTCCCACGCTTAGCGATCACAGATTCCGGGAAACTTTTGATACCAAAAAAGAAAAGAAAAGGGATCGATTTGACTAGCTCCACCTTCTCTCCTGCCCCATTGTGCTCCTCAAGTGCGTAATTGCTGACAGCAACAGCTCCTTGCTAACCGGAGATCAAACGGGCCAACGATCGCTCATTACCAATCGAAGAATCGAAGAAGAAATTTCCACGGGGGTAGAGAATTTCGGTAAAGAAAAAGCACCAGCTTTGATGACGCGCCGAACGACGAGGCATTGTTATTCAAATTCGAAGGGGAGACACTTGACTTGAGTTAAAGGAAAAAAACGAAGAAGAAAAGGAAAAACTACTGTGAAGCAGTGGAAAAACTACATCAAATTGGCGCTTAAATATTTTCTGACCAACTGTGGGAAACAATAATATTGGAACAGGGAGAGATAGAGAACGAAAGCGCATTTACTTCAACTGTAAACTTGGCTCGCAAAGGCCACTTGAGTTTTGAAGCGTTAAGTGGAAATCAATGCAGGTCTCCTCAATCCTATACCTATACCTTATATATATATATACCCATTCGATCCCAACGAAAGATGGAGTAAAGCAATTGACCAAAAACTGTCGAACTGACGATCGGCAAGCGGTACACTTGTTCGGCTTTGTTGTTGACCATGTTTTCTTAACCGTCTGAGCCCCTTTTTTTTCTCTCCACGGCGGTAGGTAAAAGAATCGGGTTCGAATCTGTTTGGGAACAACATTTTTCAACATTTTCCTCAGCTTCAGTCGTCGGCTTCTCTTGGAAATTTGTTTGTGAGTGGCAACGGAAATGCATTTATTTGCTGACGTCTTGGACAGGACCGAGACTGAAGACTGAAGAGGGGCTCTGGGGCGTTAATTGATGAATCTGCGAGATCGGACAAGGCAGCAGGTTCAATGACTATAGCTCCAAAAAAATACAAAAAAGATAGACACCAAAGACCGTGCTATTTCTTGGAATTTCCCTTCCTTGACCAAGTCGAACTTTCTGTGCCGTTCCCTCCTCCTCGGTTTTCCCTTTTGGGTGTTCATGTTAAACACATCTATTTATATTTTAATGATGTTTGTAATGATGGTGCTAAATATTTCCCACATTATTAGCACCTCCTCGTCTGGGCCTCAGTCTGGTGTCTCGGAATTTTCAAATAATCGTCGGCAAAGTCATTGAGGGATTTCTTAAGACCAGGTTAGGTATCGAGATTTCTTGGCCAGCGATAGGTAGAAAAGGATTAACAAATTTGTTTAAGATTCGGGCCCGAAGGTGAAGGTAAGTCAAACACTGAAACACTGAAGAAGATGAATGGATTTGGAAATTTGTAGCTTCAGAATGGGTTTGGAATTTATGTAATAAATACCTAAACTTGGGAAAAACTGTAGGTTTGAAGATGTTATAATCTGAGCACGTGAATAAGTGGATTTCAATCTAAGAAAAGTAGTTCAAATAAAGCTCTTTAAATGAGTAAATAAATCAGTTGGATATCATATATTCTCTACTTATAAAATGTATAGTTTTTAAATCAAATAAATCAAATTTTCATAGTTAAACAGCGGCGCTACAACCTCTTCAACTTCAAAGATACTTCTTGCCGCCTCGTGTTTGCTGTGAATCCAACAGAGAACCTGAAGATCTGATTGATCTCGCTGATGGCGCTGTAGCCTTCAACGATGCTGAACAATGCTAAACATTTTTAATGAACTACAAGGCAAACAACCCAGCACATAGCATATACACATATAGTATATATCGTATAGATACACCGAAGAGTCCCGAAGGGGTCTAAGAAACAATGGACTTTAGGGACTTGGTATTCATCATTTGATCAAGAAATTAACGGTTTCGTTACTTGTTACATGCATCCCATGGGCAAGACTTTAGGTGTTGATTGGGCAACGCCCCGATCTCAAAAGAACTATAGAGTCCCTATAGAAGGGGGAACCCAGAGCAGAACTGATTGCGTTCTTAAATTTATGACCGCACATGATGAGCTATAAAATGTTTTATGGCCCAGGGTCCGCCAGGGTTTCCCCCTGGATGCAGTTGCAATCCTAGATATATATCCCGTGCCGTGCCACCTCAACAATTTTCGCCTTCTGTTGGTCTGAAATTAAATCGTGTGATTTATTGACGTGTGGCCCGCTTCTGTTTTGGGAAAATGGAAAAGGGGGAAATGTTTTGTGTGTGTTTTCTTTTTGGGGTGGTGAAAGTTCCACCTCCCCAGAATATACATATATAGAGAGAAATTGATTGAGATGTCAGAATTCATTAGCAGCTATGGTCATCCCTTGAATCCTTGTATACATTTTTCCAGCTAATCGGGGATTCGGTTGACCAGAGACTTGGCCTAGGGGAAATTCCCAGTCAAACAAGTGGGATAAACCCGCATTTGGTGAGGTCTAAGGTCTAAGGACTAAGGACTCGGGATAATCCCTTACTACCTGAGCTTAGTCATGCAAATGAATGAAAAGTGAGGGTCAGGAGGGTCTCCCGTAGGCGAAGAGGCGTGCAAATTGACAAAAGGAACTTTTCGCACATTAGCCTTAAGTGGTTGTGTTTCGGGATCCTGCAGGACCAGCTGGAATGGTATTTGCACCTGTTGTTACTGCATTTTTCAGCATTTTTCTCGCTTCTCCTGAACCGCCATTGTCTCTGCTGTTGTTTTCCTATTATCCTGCTGTGTGTGAGGAGCAGGATGAGGAGAAGCCTGCGTAGCTCGTGCTGGTCCTTGTATCTCTTTTTTGTTTTGTTGGGTTTCAGGCCAGCAGCAGCTGCAGCGGCTCTAATTGGCCTGTCTGTTATTTTTTTCTTTTTTTGCGCCCAGTGAAAGTTGACCCAAAGCGTAGCAAATTTTCCTTTTGTTTCTCTCTTCTTTTTGCAATAAATTACGCATTTTATGGCTGCTGACCCACAAATGTTACCTACTCACAGATGCAGATTATATTTTATATTGAATATCTATTATTTAATAGGTTTGCCACTGAATAAACTTGCTGATTATGTTGTTATATTAATTTGTTGATGTTTTGTAAGCCTAAATATATTATGAGCTTAGTTAAAAAGTGATTTTAATCATAATTAATACATCAGACAAGTTTGTGTCTATCTATGTAAAAGGAAAATAGTGAAAGAGCGAACTTTGAATACTAAAAAGTTCTGTAAATATTATTTACAGATGCAAAGCATTCCCCGAAATGTATCTAATCCCCTAAAATAATGCAAAATAAAAAAGAAAGCATTCAATAAAAACCCAAAGAAGAAACCTTTCCCAGCTTCATTTAAAATTCCATCCTTTGCTGTTACCTCATCTCAAGTAGCTTTCGTCACGCTTTTGGCTGACAGTTGGCAACATTATTATTATTAATAATAAATAATATTCAACAATTGTGGCACTTTCTGAAACCCTCTTTTTTTGGTTCCTCCTTAACCCATCATTGTCATGGAAATGAAAGCAAACAAACAAAAAAACAGCGGCGGCAACAAACTACTGTAAAATTGTTGAAATATTTTCGTTTCTTGGGGATATTTATTTTTGTGAAAGGTTTTTTTTTTTGGAGGGCAAAGGCGGAGATAGTTTTGGAAATTGTAAATTAGATGGCAATGTGAAGGCATTTCCTGCAGACGTGTCAATAAACAAAAAACACTCGCAGGAGACGCAGGCACTTGAGCTGAGCTGAGCTGAGCTGAGGTGTTATTGGGGGTTAAGTAGTAAATTTATTGGAAATTACTTACGGATCTGTGAAGTGTCTGTCACTGAGACTGTTCCTTCCGCAGCTAGGTGTATGGCTTTGTTGTGTGCACACTGTGACATTATTACGAAGTCTTCTACTGTACATAATGCACCTGAAATCACCACCTGGAAAAGGGATAAATATATTAGTAAAGATTCTGTAGTTATTTTTCTCCATGTATTCAGAGCTCTCTTTAGGTTTTGCTCTGTCCCTTATCGCTGTGCTATCTATCAGCGTTCCATCAATAATTGTATCTATCAGATACCAAAAAGGCAGAAAAAAACGTAAGCAAACAATATCGAACCTAAATTGCATACCAATGTTTACACCTTGTCACTACAAATACTTTGATACCGTACAAACAAAGCACAAAAGTATTTCATGTCATCTCTTGGGGGTGGAGTGTGTGTTCCCCCCTTTTTAAAGGGTATGCCGGTAGCCTTTACCCAATCACCTCTGCTCCTCTTTGGGTAATTTATCATGTTTGATTAGTTGTGTCTCTCTCTCTCTTTTGATATTTTATTACATTCATTAATAATCGCGCCTTTAATTTAATGAATTTATTGTTTCGTCCAGCGGCGGCGCTTGTGTGTGCCCCCCTTTTCCCCTCCTTATAGGTGTTATTGTGCCAGGTCAGGTTGTAAATCAAATGGGGAACCCAGATTTACCTGCCGCCATATGTGGCAGTCGCCAGGTGCTTACATCTATAATTTCCAGGCGACTTTGACCATGTAATGTCGCATTATTATTACGGTAGCTTTAGTGCAAAATTTACAAGATTTATTCTGCAATTTATAGGTGCTGTCCTTTGCCTCTAAGAAATTGTAAAATCGTTTCAATGGCATTTTATCTCTGGCAATTTTTTACGTCTTCCTTTTTAGCTGGGCAATATTTTCATTCTATTTATTTAATGATGAATGAGAGTAGACTCTGACCATGGAATTTATATTGTATTTTCCCAAAGCTATATTATTTTTACAAGATTTATTTCCAGATTTATGGGGCAGACTTTGTGACTAACTAATTCCCAGGAAATTGTAAAAGTCTCAATGGCATTTTAAATTTACCTCAACTTTGCTCTACTTCTTCATATCTCTAGTTATTTTTAGTGTCAATATTTGGCAAAACTCAAGTGGTATTTATGCAATGATTTTGTTATTTTCTATATTATTTATTTGCCTTTAATTTTCTATAAAGAAATTTTGAATGAATGAAGAGGTACGACCGCGTATCACCTCTCTCATTTCCCTCGCACATGCCACACCTTATCTCCATTCATAATTTCATCAACCCAGAAAGGAAAATATATAACGAAAAACTCTATTGTGTGGGGCCTTGCTACGCTTTATTTATTAGAACTCTGTCGATAATTACAAAATAATGCGTTTGCTTGCCGCCGACCCTTGGCTTTTTTTTTGTTACCTCTTCACTTGACTGGAGGCCTGAACCACCCACTGCCTCACCCCGCCCAGCTGCCACCCACCATGAGTCTCTAAAAGAACACTGGAAGAATATACTTAATAATTTTAAATATTAATATTTATTTAAGGTAAGTCTGTGATACCTAAAGCATTCCCTAGACAATCAATTTTTGTATACAAATAATTACAAGATTGAGTAACTTTAAAATGTGATTATTCTTTTAATATTCCACATTTTCTCTCAGTGCATTATTGCTTGGGAAAATGTGGCGTGCACATTGCTTTACTGGGGATCGAAACGAGGTTACCCCGGGCATAAATTTGAGGCACCTCCTCGATAGCTCGATAGCATTTACAAAGCGAGCGCCTTTGATAAGATTTCGAAGCTACCAACTGGAGAGTTATTTCGTTCAGTGGAGTGGGTTAGGGGGTGGTTCGGTGGTTTTCTCTTCAGTTTTTTTTTCTAGTATTGAGGAAGTGCTTTTGGCCTTTGTAACTTGGTTAATTTGTGGCCCCAACAGTTTGATAGTTGTGAATGGACGGGGGACTTTGTGGCTGGGTCTGAGGCTGTGCTTGGCTTCGAGGGGCCTTGATGAGAGTTTTTTAGTGCTTTATAGATTCGAGGGTATTGCCATTCGAGTGGCTAAGCACGAGGGTCGCCCGGTGGCGCTGTAAAGTTAAGGGTCTTCCCCGCATATCGCAAACCGGCGCCTCAATCAATTCAAATCTCAAAAAGGTTGGTTAGTTATGAGAAGATAACACTAGGTTTTTTTTACCTTACAGGTTAAGGGGACTTTGAAGAATATATAAAGGTAATATTTTAATATTTTAATTTAAAAAACCGCTCTGAATCAATCTAATTATAAAAAAGGATTTAATAAAACCGAGTTTAATTGAAGTTTCGGTGTAGCTTGTCCCCCATTTATAGTCCCAAATATCCCTAAAGACCCAGAAAACTTTAAGAAGTTCCCCTAATTTGTTATATTTTAAATTATTACCATCTAATAAAACCTTCAATAACAAGTACTCTTTAATTTCTCTACTGCCCAAAACTGTAATCGATTAACAACACCCTTCACCTTCACTTTCAGCCTAGGCCTCCATCGATCATTATAACATATATCACTTAATATATACTCACAATAAAAAACAGCAGTCTCTCTAACTGATTCGACATTCATTCGGCGATTAATGTACATAATTTTAACCCATTTACTGCCGGCTCAGAGCAGTAAACTAAAATTCAGTTGGCGGATTTAGTTATCGGTTGATGTGGCTGACATTGGGAAGCATCGAGTGGTTATCCCCGTGTAATCGCTAATCGCCTCGCTTGACCGATAATAATTTCGATAATTCCGATAAAGCACATTTCCTTTTTCCACAAATATTATTTATATTTTTTTTTAAATATTCTCAAGTATTTCTTGGCGTCAGGCCGAAATGAAATCGAAACTCATTTCTGGCTCACACAAACACACATCTCATTCACACGCGACGCACTGCTTCCTTCCTTCCGGTAGATAATCAAATATTTTATGTATTTAATTTTTCATTATCCCAAAAAAAGGGGGCACGTTTTTCCAGTTAACGCAACGTAATGCAATGTATCGTCACGTAAGGGGCTGTACGTAAGCTCTAAGTCGGGCGTTGCCTTAGCGTTGCACGTCTTTGCAAGGCGATTGAATTATCGAGACTAAACCGAATCGAAGCAGCAGCAACGGCAGCAGCAGCGGCACGCAACAGCCAGCTAACAGCGGCACAAGAGTTTGACAAACTTGCGCATTTGTTGTGTCTCTTAGCGTGAAAGTAGCCGTGTGCGTGTGTGCGCTGTGCGCTGTGCGGCGTACGGTGGTGTGCGTGTGTGAGCGCAGCCATTGCTGCTGCAGTGCCAACCACTTATTGCATGCGATAGATTCTGTTACAGCATGCGACAGGTACTGTTAGAGCATGCGACATGTACTGTTAGCGCATGCGATAAGCACTGTTGTTCGAACTGTTAAGACTGCAGAATATTTAGCAGCCTGCATTTCGGATTTTAAAAGGAATCATTTTTGATTTTATTATGCTTAACATGTGCCTAAAAATGTTGCAATTGAATCAGGGTTCGAATTAAGTTCAAAGTAATTAATTATGTATATTGCCTTGGTTTTTATGCCAAGAAGATATTAATTGATATTTTTATATGCCAATATTGTTCACAAATCAAAGTTTAAAAAACTCATAGCTCAGCCAAAAAATAACTAATTTTAATTCAAAAAGCTGTCCCATGTTAGTTTTCATTAGGTTAACAAATCTGCATACTCAATTTAAAATATTAGAAGTTTAAAAATTAGTAATGCGCTTAATTAACAATTAACTATAACAAAACCTTTTCTTCTAATAATAAAAACTTATATTATATTTTAAACCCTTTCTCCAAAGAAAATCACTTGACTTAATTAAGAACTTTCTCTCCTTTACGCAAACAAAACCTCAAACACTTCAATAACTTTTAATTGCATATTTCGTCACCTTTACAAGGCTACAATTAATTGTTGATTAACTCAAACTTATAAGACACGCTAATTAAATTAAGTAGCCGAGTTTTCTTTGTCACTTATAAAAGAAAATAGCTTCATTGGTTTACAAACTCTTCAAGATGGTGCTTCTAAAACGTTTACTAATAATAATTCTGTGCCTTAAACTGTATTCTACAAATCCAGAGACAATAATCAATGAATTAACTTTAAAATTAGACATAAGGACACACATTTATTATGGTTTTACCAAGGAGACCTTCGAGGAACTTAATTTGATGACAAATCAGCCCAAGTTATTAATTTTGAACAACATAAGTGAAGAGTTTAAAACAGAACACGATGAACCAGTGCTAATTATAATTAATATGGAAACAGATTTGGATTTTAATTTGATAACTGTCGAGGTGTTGAAATCATATTTTATAGATAGACAATATAACGATATATTGCTTATTGATAAAGATGAAAATGAAGAGAAAAGTTATGCGGAAATTAGCAAGGCCTATTGGGATGCTGGATTTTCATATATATTAATTTATGCCTCGCAAGAAGAGCAACTTTGGTCGATGAGACCTTATCCCTACTTGGAAATTATACCAACTAATCTACAAAAATATATAAAATCTAGAGATAATTGCAATTTAAAAGGATATCCCCTGCGAGTGCTGGTGACCAATGATCCACCTCATTGTTTTGTGGACGAGGAAGAGTCACCCAACTCCAAGGATCGCTATAAAGGCAGTATTATAGAAATATTTAAGCTGTTTGCTAAGCATCTAAATGCCACCTTTCAGGCGGTACCTTTTCCTGGTCTGAGGAGATACTCCACCAATGAGTGCCTCAATCTGGTGCAGGACAATGAGACGGATGCCTGTGGCAGTATCTTTATAAGGACATACAAGTATCCAACCAGTCAGCCGGTTTGCCTGAATCGCGTGGCCATAATGGCCCCCTTTGGGAATCCCATCGAAAAGTTCTACTATTTCTTCAGGCCCTTTGACTCCTATGTCTGGATTGGGATTAGTCTTATGTTGGTCTACATTTGCGTAATGGGTTCCTTGCTCCATCGCTGGCACTTTGGTCAATGGGATGTGGGTCAGTATCTCCTGCTGGCAGTGCAGACTCTGCTGACCAGGGAACTCTCCCTACCGCAATGCTCTGGTTTCTCCAAACTGATGCTGCTGCTCCTGCTCTTTGCCATCGGATTTGTTCTTTCCAATTTATACGTGGCTTTGCTTTCCATGATGCTCACCACAAAGCTGTATCAAAGACCCATTGAGAACCTGGCTGACTTGAAGGCATCCAATGTGAACATATTGCTGCAACAGCACAACATTCGACCCAATTCCATCTATGGAAGTTCGGAGGAGCTCAGGGAAAGGTTTCTCCTGGTGGAGGAGGATCTGCATAAGGAACGTAGGGATGGCCTGGATCCTAACTATGCCTATGTGGACTCTGAGGATCGCATGGACTTCTATCTGTATCAGCAAAAGTTCCTGCGTAGGAGACGGATGAAGAAGCTGACCAATCCCGTGGGCTACACCTGGGCCGTCCAGGTGATACGCCAGAACTGGGTGCTGGAGCGGCTCTACAATGACCATGTACAGCGACTTTTTGAGAGCGGATTGCAGAACAAACTGGTGGATGATGTCCATGAGTTGGCCGTGAAGGCGGGCTTCCTGCACTTTTTCCCCACACAAAGTCAGACCATCGAACCTTTAAGGCTTGAGGATATTGTGATGGCAGCCATGGTCTTGGGCGGCGGCCACGCCCTTGCCGGGATATGTTTCCTCGCTGAGCTCACACACTCAATCCAATCTCAATCATTGTCCTTCCAATCACGGGAATGGCAATAGTTCCGGCTGGCCATAAAGACGGTTAACACCCACGCCATAAAGGCGGAAACACCCCTAAGTGTATCGCAATTTAAAGCGATTAGGGTCACAATGAGGACCCGCATGCGACATCCGTTGCGACCACTACTAGGACACTTACAGAAAAGGATACACAACTTAATTTAATTCATTATTTGTAGAAATAAAAAATATGTGCAAGCTTTGTAGTCTTAATTTAAAGGAACCCCTAAGCAGATCCTCAAAAGTTCCCCCTCTAGTTTTCATATTTTTTATAATTTAAGAAAACCCCCTTTAATTTCTCTGAGTGCCTTGGAAGTGTGTCATGTGGGTGGGCCCCTCTTCCTCTACTTCTCCCAGCGGAAGTTGCCGAAAAATGCAGCAGTTGATTGAACATTGATTGACAATGGCTTCAGGACAGGAAGAGGGGCGCGGCTCGGTCCACTGAGAGACAATCGATTCATGGACATGGACATGGACATGGCTGAGAGGACACAACTGGGGTGGAGGAGGATGGAGGCGGAGATGACTGGGGCGCTACTGCTCCTTGGGCAATCCCCTTTTGTTCGACGAAACAATGGCGATTTGTGCACCGTGAGCAGTCGTGAGCTCCTCGCTCTTTTGTGGCCCTTCTGCCTGTCCTTGTAATCCCCGATAATGGGCCATTGTCAGTATCGATGTGGGATGTCCGCTGGACGTTGGGCGATGCCTGATGTCCGTTGATGCCTCGATTTTCAACGCCTGCCATTGACGACCAATGACAGGCACTCACTCGGCTTGCCCCGATGCTTGATTGCTGGACGCACTTTGGCACAGACACCGATGGAGATTGGCTTTGGCTTCAATTGGATTGGATTGCCCCACTCCAAGTTGCACTTGAGTCGGGTTAAATTAGGTATTTAATAAGGGAATCCCAATGGATTGGGTGTGAGAAAGGGAAGGAATTAGAGAATTTAAAGGCAGTTAATGAGGGATATATATAGAAATATACTCAATTAAAGAACTAGTTTCCATAATGTCAAGTACTTGTTAGAGAAGTTACCATCTGGCTAATGAGGATTACATCTCTCCCTTCTTCACTGAAATGTCATTTCAATTTCAACAACATTCGGCACTCAAAATGATAATTACACGTTTCGCATTTGAAGTGAAAATAACAGAGACCTTAAGTGGGATTAGTTTTGGGTTTATTGTCAATCAAGCGATATCGAACCCATCAAAGGTCCAAAGGTTCTCTACAGAATTTGTTGTGCCACAATTTCATCACTTTTGTGACTCAGAGTTAGCAATACTTTAAATATAAATTCTTTTCATAAGTTTATAAACAATTACTCTTCACTTTTCAGGTACAAAAAACTTATCAAAAGCTGTTGCCAACTGCTCCTCCTACTCTCTCTCCCCCTTGCGAAATCAATTGAAGTTTCTCGTAAACGAATCTGAACTAAAATATTGGCCAAAGTCATGGGCCAACGCGATTGCCAATGTTGCTATCTCTGTGACGTCACAAGGAATGTGCCTCAAAGATTGCCACCGATTAGATTCGGTTACAAACAACTCGAAGTCAAAGTATGTTAAGTTGTCAAGTGATAGCCGAGGGCTGTTCATTAGCGAAATATAAAAGTTCTTGGCCGCAACTGTCATCGAGATTGCTCCATAGGTGCTATGGCATTGCTTATGTGATTTTTGAACCTCTTCAAAAGCTGAAATTCATGTATATTTATAGGAAAATTCTTTGGAAAATTCACTAAGGGAATTTTTTGCATTCAAAGATTACAGCTGAGGAATATTTAAAGTGAGTTATCTAATCCAACTTGTAGAGTATTTGTTAATTGGTTGTATAATCTCTGATTAGAGGACTTGAAACGTGATTTGTAAAGGGAGAAATTGGTTTCTAAACGATGATATAATTGGGCATTACCTTAGGTTTATTAGACTTGCCAAGTAACTAGGTTATTTAATGTTTGATTTAATTTTTTAAAGAGTTCCAAGGCTGGATTGTAATCAAGTTTAGTACACATGTAGAGGATCAGTAAGTATCTTCGAAGTAAGTTACTACGAACAGTAAGTAACTCTGAATAGTAAGTATCTATATCTATAAGCAGTAAGTATCTATGACCATTAAGTAACTATGACCAGTAAGTACGTATGTTCAGTTACTAACTTTGAACTCCAATAAACAATGACTTGCAACTTTTGTAACACAACACATTCCTGAAACTAGGCCGGCAGAAGTCACTTCGTTCCGGGGATGTTAGAACCAGTTGGGAATCATATGCAAAGAGAAAGATTTGTTTTGGAACAAATTTTAGAGCAAGCTATTTGAATGAACCTATGGAATTATTCTTTATATAATTTACTAGTATATAAGTCGGATCGCAGCGGATCGGTGGACTATATATATACATATATATAACTGCCATAGGAACGATCGGACGATATTTAAAACTATAATCATGAATTAACCATGTTCAGTTATTATCTATGACCAGTAAGTAAGTAACTCTGAACAGTAAGTAACTCTGAACACTAAGTATCTATAAAAAGTAAGTATCTATGACCAATAAGTAACTATGATCAGTAAATATCTATGAACAGTAAGTAACTCTGAAGAGTAATTTCCTATGGCCAGTAAGTTAATATGATGAGTTAGTAACTATGATCACCAATTAGCTATGACCAGTAAGAAACTATGATCAGTAAATATCAACGAACAATAAGTAACTATGATCAGTAACTAACTATGACCAGTAAGTATCTAAAGTATCTAAAAATATCAGAAAGTTTCTGAGTATGTAAAGGGGACCAAAGCAGTAAGAAAGTAAGGAAATAAATTGGAATATATAGTCTAGACCTAGGTCTGATACCACCAATAGCTTCTTACCGCAGTAAAGGACACGTCATTGTTTACTTCCTTTCAGTGTAGTAACCAAGATTGGGTGACTTCATCCAAAGTAAGCTTCTTGCTAGTCATCCAGATGTGTTTCATTGACCACGGCATATTTTGAAAGTCGAAGGTTGATCACTTGCACTATCACTATTGATGTTAACACTAGGTACCCCTAGGACAGACTGAGGCGCGCGCGACCTCAGCGCCTCTATTTATAGTTCCCGAGCAGTGCAGAGAAGAGCAGAGAAAGTGAGTGTGAGTGCGTGGGAGAGAAGCAGTTGCCTCGAGAGATTAACATAGAGCGATTAACATATCATAGAGTCAGAGGGGGAGAGGCAGAGAGGAGCAGCGAGCTGATATTTAATTTAACTATAAACAATAAGTAACTATGAGCAGTAAGTAACTCTGATCAGTAAGTATCAATGAACATTAAGTAACTCTGACCAGTAAGTATCAATAAACATTAAGTACCTCTGAACAGTAAGTGCCTATGACCAGTAAGTATGTATCTTCAGTTACTAACTTCGAACACTAATAAACAATGACTTGCAACTTTTGAAACACAACACATTGCTGAGACCTAGCTGGCAGAAGCCACTTCGTTCCGGGGATGTTTGAACTAGTTGGGAATCATAAGCACAGAAGTGCGAGACTAATTTTGGAACAAATTTAAGAGCTAGTAGTTAGTTCAATGAAGCTATGGAGTTATTCTTCTATATTATTTTACTAGTATATAAATCGGAGCATTGCCAATCGGTGGACTATATATATACATATATATAACTGCCATAGGAACGATCGGACGATATATAGAACTATAATGATGAATTAACCATGTTCAGTTATTATCTATGATCAGTAAGTAAGTAATTCTGAAAAGTAAGTAACTCTGAACACTAAGTATCTATAAGAAGTAAGTATCTATGACCAATAAGTAACTATGATCAGTAAATATCTATGACCAGTAAGTAACTCTGAAGAGTAATTATGTATGGCCAGTAAGTAAATATGATGAGTTAGTAACTATGATCACCAATTAGCTATGACCAGTAAGAAACTATGATCAGTAAATATAAACGAACAATAAGTAACTATGATCAGTAAATAACTATGACCAGTAAGTATCTAAAGTATCTCAAAATATCAGAAAGTTTCTGAGTATGTAAAGGGGACCAAAGCAGTAAGAAAGTAAGGAAATAAATTGGAATATATAGTCTAGACCTAGGTCTGATACCACCAATAGCTTCTTACCGCAGTAAAGGACACGTCATTGTTTACTTCCTTTCAGTGCAGTGACCAAGATTGGGTGACTTCATCCAAAGTAAGCTTCTTCCTAGTCATCCAGATGTGTTTCATTGGCCACGGCATATTTTGAAAGTCGAATGTTGATCACTTGCACTATCACTATTGATGTTAACACTAGGTACCCCTAGGACAGACTGAGGCGCGCGCGACCTCAGCGCCTCTATTTATAGTCCCCGAGCAGAGCATAGAAGAGCAGAGCAGGGAAGAGCAGAGCAGAGAAGAGCAGAGCAGAGAAAGTGAGTGTGAGTGCGTGGGAGAGAAGCAGTTGCCTCGAGAGATTAACATAGAGCGATTAACATAGAGTGAGAGGGGGAGAAGCAGAGAGGAGCAGCGAGCTGATATTTAATTTAACTATAAACAATAAGTAACTCTGAATAGTAAGTATCATTTGACCAGTAAGTAACTCTGAACAGTAAGTATCTATGACCAATAAGTAACTATGATCAGTAAGTATGTATGTTCAGTTACTAACTTTGAACACTAATAAACAATGACTTGCAACTTTTGAAACAACACATTTCTGAGACTTGGCCGGCAGAAGCCACTTCGTTCCGGGGATGTTTGAATTAGTTGGGAATCATAAACACAGATGTGCGAGATTTGTTTTGGTACAAAAACAAGCTATTTAAGTAAAACTATGGAGTTATTCTTATATTTAATTTTACTAATATATAAGTCGGAGCATGGCGAATCGGTGGACTTTTTATAAACTTATATTTATAGCTACCATAGGAACGATCGGAAAGTTTTGAGAATAAAAATTATCACTTTTTCAGTTTTCAACAGATTTTCATTAAATTTTATATAAAGC